TATATATATATATCATGTCACCACAAGCTAAATATATAATATTTACTTTTATATTTACATAACTACTTAGCTTAGAATCATCCTGTACCTAAATACGAATGGTAGCTATATTTTTTTTATGTAGCCTGTATTTTTTTTTTAAAGACTTGTTTGTGATGAAGAGAAATGAAACTTAATATTTTCTCTATACTTATAGCATGTAAAATGCAAAAATGAAATACATGATGGCTGAACGTTTCTTTTAGAGAACCCAATTTGCCCAGACGTTATGTGCATGATTTTCTGTGAACACGGATACGAAGAAGATGAAAATGGATGTAAAACATGTGTGTGTAAAGGTACAGTGTGTGATTTGATAGACCTCCAAATAAAAAGAAATAATTCAGTTCGTTCTCTAGTCAATCCGTACTAATTTTTTAAAAGAAAATAGGCTAGCAAATAATTTAGCTCAGGTTTTCCTTGACATGATAATGTGATGTCATATTAATATTGATGCCAGTGGTAAGCACAAATTTAATAACCTCCGGTGACTTTTTTTGCACGATTTATCGTGTTTGGGAAATCTACACAATTATTCGTGCAATCGGTGTAATACTAACTTTGTTGGTATGCTTGATGTAGGTGATGCAATAATTTACATATAAAAGCTTGATATGAAGTATATTGGGCTTACCTTAAAAACAACAGAGAACAGAAACTTAATTTTCATACGTTATTTAACATGTATACAATAAATATTCTACACGTCCATCACTTTCTTTAGGTCAGAGCTACGACAATAAGCCTAAAAGAGTAGAGTTAATTTATCGTGGCACGTTTTTGTTCACGTAATTTGAACTTGAAACTAACTTTAAACCCTTTCGGAAGTAACCGTTTCACTACCTGTTTTAATGTGCATTGAATATAGGCCTACAAACGAAACCATGGTACAATGTGAAGGTCAACACAGGGCAACATAGCTGCGCTGGCATGTATTCTAGTGTGTTTGTGCACTAAACCATGCGGCCATATTTTCTTATCAAAATAAAGACCGATTTGCTTCAAGGTCCTTATATTCTTTGTTACAATTATTTTGGTAGAGATCAACACATTTTGTTTAAACATCTCAGTACAATACTTTCAAATATGGCTTTAATATTGTGATCATGACATTTGATTACCTTTGATAGTATACCATTTTTCGATGTACAGATATTAACTTGAAAAATTGTTTTCAGGACTTGTTTCTTAACAAACACCATCCATATCAGTCTCACCTAATTATACTTTAATATTATTGCACATGGTACGACACTTTAACTATTTATATGGTCGTTGAGTGGAGTAAGTGGTCGATAGCCTGACTTTTCGTTTTTCCAAATGCCAATAGCTACCCCGTCTATCGGAACTTTTCTATATATTAATTTTCTTGGTTTCTGAAGCCATTTTGAATTGTAACCACTCTGAAAAGTACTTTTTTGTTTAGATAGTTATCGATGAACAATTTAAAGTTCAGTATGATAATAATATTTGTAAGTAATTTGTTGAAATATTACACACGGAATCCCTTCATCGATGATAATTACTTCCATACTTAAACAGAACCAATAGACATAGTGCCACGAGGTCTATCCAAACATCGATGTCTGCCTTTCAACTGTAAAATGTTCTGTGAAAACGGCTTTCAAAGAGACAGTCTTGGATGCAGTATCTGTAGATGTAAAGGTATTATACCCAGTTTATTGTGTATAATATGCCCTCCATAGAGTTTCAATAAAACTATATCCACACTCTATCACATTTTATGTGACAAAGGCCGGTGTGATATGACATGTTGGTTTATTGTGACATCATCACGACATCATGTAACATAGAACGTGTGGACAGAGTGTTGGAATATCAATGTGCTACCTAGGCCAGATGAGAATCTTTATCTTTACTCAATCTTTACTTCATGGCATCATTGCACCCTTTGTACCTACGTATAAAGCGGAGAATTTGGGTTTGGGACCTGCTTGTTCATAACATCTCCGATATAGTTTATCCCCTTCATGCTTACGGTTCGCCGAAAATGTATTTCTTTAAACAATTTAAACCCCCATGATATTCCCGGATGATATTAATTTCTCAGATGGGGCAAGACCTGAAAGCCGGGTCTAAATATTTCCAATCGTTAAGCTATGACAGTATAACCACCAAAAATCCACTGCATGGATAAATTCCAATGCCAAGAGAAGGTTGAACCGCATAAAAATCATTGTGTACAGCAAGTCGACCCTGCACAGTGAATAATGTATTGTTTGGCATGACACCACACATCTGTTTAGTCATGATATGTCTCACTTGTTCGTCCCATCTGAGTACTGTAGTGTGGTTTTTAATTCACTTTTTCCTACAAGTATATTTTTATGGCTTATTATGGTCCAAAATGTGTTTTTAAACCACAATATTATGGATTGGCAGTCAAAATAACAACATTTGGATAGGCAAATTATTATTTTTTTTTTGGAAAAATGCCCCTGCCCCCCGCTGGCGCCACAACTGGTTCTTGTTGGCGATCCGGGTCCCCTTCAGGAACATCGATTCCTCCGTCGGGAAAATCTTGGCGCAACCCATGAAGGCCGAACATTCGAATTATGCAATTTTAGTATTCTATAAAATTGCAGGTAGCTGTATTAATGTGCCTATGTACAGCGATAATACAAATGTGTAGCTTCAAAGAATAACATTATAATACCTTCAACGTATTTGAAGAAGTATAGGCCTACTGTGTGGGCAAACGTTCACATCATATTATAGAATATCCTATTACATTATGTTATCCATCACGTTACAGCACCAAAAGAAAGAAATGTGAGAGAACTGTTAGCTAAAAGAAAATGTCCAGACTTCCAATGTTTGATGTTTTGTGACAAAGGCTTTAAGAAGGATAGTTTTGGATGTGATATCTGTATCTGTAGAGGTAAAATGCATTAGTAATTACATTAGCAATTGTAGGAAAGATGTGAATTATTATTGCATAATGGTATGATATCCAAATAGGAGATTCGTGAAGTTTAACATAATAGTAAATAACATTTAAGATACAAGATGTTGTTGGTTTTCTACATCGTAGCATTTATATAATATGGCAATTTACATACAATCATAATTATTTATTTACCTTAACATAGTTAAGAAATTAAAATTGTAGCCTAATTTTTTTTCTGCAGAATAGTATAGTAAACGAAGACGAATAAGATGCACGCAAAGGTCCGCAACAGAATTGACAAAAGTAAATTCAACGATCAATGACGTCCTTATAGGATTATATCTACTACTGAATGACATTTCTTGAAGAAATCATCAACACCTTTGTAATTTACGCATTTTGCTGTCCTATATGAAGCTCTACAGAATGTTCCAATATTGATTGTCTTGGGCTGAATGGTTATTAGACTTTATCAATTTTAGTACATGTTTTAGATTTTTTTTTTTTAGATTTTAAGTCCAAGTTGACTATATAACAACTTACTGTATTAACTGATAATCGTTATTGCAATAGAAAAAGGAAATTTATTGCGTGATTATACCCTACACAGTAACAGTGTGGGGTGACAATGGAATTTGGTGTAAATAATTTATATTTCACTAACCTACACAGCCAATTATAAAGCCAATTATTTCAAAATGAGATAACACTGAAAACAGATTAATAATCTTAATAAATGTTGATGCATTAGTTATAAGCCTGTTGTATTTTTTTTGTTGCATTTTGTTGGCGTTTTTATTATGATAAATCTGTTAAAATCGAAATGATTTGTTAACCAAAGGAATGCATACCCAACTTCGTATAATTTTGTTTATAAATTCAACCTAGCGTAATACTACTACAACTTACTATAAACTAATCAAAATAGTATGATACTGATAATTTAGGAGGATAATTTTGATGACAAAAAAACAACAATGAATAGCAATTATTATAAGCCAACCATGTCGTCATCATTAATTGCCTTCAACGTAATATAAAACCGAAAGGCATAGGGCATGAGAGGGATGTAGGCGCGGCCAGATTGCAGAATCCCAATTCACCGATGACAGATTACCAGATTAGTCTAGTCTATTGAAATCCAGTTTGCCGAATATCAGAGTTCAGACTCACTACTCTCAATACCCATTTTGCCGAAGCCATATTGTATTGTCCCTCCCTCTTTGCCAAAACTTAGTAGGCCGAATATTGATCTTAAATTCTCGACCATGTTCATCCTGGGTGTAACTGGTGTGTGTGTGCTGTGTAGTTCCATTAAATACAATGACACAGTAAATTTCAATCAGATTAAAATAAAAATCAACTTCAAGCTAAATCTATTGGATTGGATCCTATAATTGCAGAATTTTGTAGTGTTATAATGTAATAATAATAATAATTATTATTATTATTATAATTATAATAATAATATTATTATTATTATGATTCTGCAGAGTATTCTGATGGCTGATTTCAACTGTAGGCTTATTTAATGCTCTTAGGCAACAATACGGAAGCTTAAGTCAAAAGTGCAGTAAACCGTTTTTTTTATACATAAAGTTGGCGTCTATAATACATAGAGTTGGCGCCTATGGTAAATAGAGTTTGCGTCTATAATGTCGTGTTAAAGAAAGGTTTATTTATGACTATTCAACGGTGCAGAAAGTTTAAAAATTGGAAGATCAAATGTACAAACAAATGTGCCTCGGGCTAGGGTCCTGTTTTTTTTAAAACACAGGATCATATACGTGTTCTTTACTTTTGAAGGGCATCGACCTTTTATGAAAAAATGTTATTTCGGATTATGTGGCGTACTTTGCTACTAATACGTGAAACTCAGATTTTAGGTTTTACATGATGATTCACAAAAATAGATCGAATTCTTCATCTGGATATATAGCAGGCTTAGTATCAGAGAGATTGGCAGATTGAGTTGACTGCAATAAACAACAGTATCATCTTGCAATATATCCCAGAAAGAAACCAATTATTCCGTGACGTGATTTTTGAAATTGTATATTGCTTCTAAATTACACAAAAAAAAAAAAAAAATTATAAGAAATCAAGATGTCTCTACCCAGTACATTAGCGGATCTGGGATGTACTGAGGGGGTTGCCACTGACCGCGAGAGTGGCCATCGAGGTGTGAAGCACCGATGAGGGTGGGAGTGGGATACGTTTGGATGTCCACCTCTCCAAAATAAGATTTTTTTAAAATTAAGTGTTAGGCCCTCTTTTGGAGTATTCTGTCTTGATGTCATTGTATTACATAGACCTGTGCCCACAACCTATGAGTAAAACATTCATGCATTTCCTCAACTCTACTCTCACTCCGATATTTATTGTTCACTGAAACACTGTTATGGCTATTCGTAATGACACGAGTGGTTTTACTAAGGAAAGAGGCATTAAATACAATACACAATCAATTTCTAAAGCACATCTTGACTTCATAATTTAAGCTGAATTTCTGCATTTAGACGGGCCTATAACATAAAATATGTATCAAAGAGAAAAGGAAATATCCACCTTCACGTCACATAAATGGTATCAGCATTATTTAAAATTATACAGACTGTATTTAATGTGAAAACTAAATATAAACGTCCGTTTTGTTGAAGATCCGAAGAAAGGTATCGACATGGGGACTATTCAAATGAAACGTCCCAGATTATAATATACCAAAAACTGATCTACTGATCTGAATGAAATATTTTGGAATGTTTAACTAAGTTACAAGGAAGAAAAAATTATTAAATTTCATTGACGATCTATATTAGAGTGTGAATTTGCGGGTCCGGAGAAAGGTATCGATATGCGAATTTATTCAAATGAATCGTCCGAGATTATAATATACCAAAAACTGATCTACTGATCTGAATGAAATATTTTGGAATGTTTAACCAGGTTATAAGAAAGAAAAAGTTATTAAATTTCATTGATGATCTATATTAGAGTGTGGATTTGACCTAAATATCTCAAATAAATTATCAATGGATCAAAATTAAAATTTCCAGTATATTTTGTCATGGTCCAATGAAATAAATTTTGGTGATGATCCGGAGTAGGGTGTGGATTTAAGGGTCGTTTCAATACTAAAGTCCATAACCTAAATATCTCGTCAGTGGATCTAAGTGAAACTTTAATGTATGGGTTATTATGGGCCATTAAAGAAATGATTACATTTTGGGGACGATCCAGAGTAGGGTGTTAAAATGAGGACCATTTAAAGGGAAGCGTCCCAGAACAGTTATCCCAAAAACTGATCAACTGATAGGCCTATGAATGAAACTTTTGGAAACATTTCACCATGTTACAAGGAAGAGAAAATACTAAATTTTATGACGATCCAGATTCGGGTGTGTCACTTAAAGTACAAGGTCCCAGACCTAAATATCTCTCTTATCAGAAGGCTTTAATTTTGACAAAAGTATTATATATGTATATATTAGTTACCTGTATTTTATTTGAAATGTAATATAGATTAAAGATGGAAAAATGAATGAAAACAATTGAAAAAAAGAGTGACAATAAAGGTGGGTGACTCCCACGAAAGACAAAAAAAAAATCTCTCTTATCAAAGATCTAATGTAAACTTTCCAGAATAATTTGTCATGGTCCAATTAAACAATGTTAAAATGTTGGTGACGATCCGAAGTTTGGTGTGGATATAATGACCAAAAAAATAATAATAAATCGGTAATTAAACTATAGATATAAACGCAATTTGTGTTTTCTAAAACGTTTAAACCAATTGAAGCTAGGTTTAACGCAAAATCACCGTGACATGCATGAAAAATTTTCCCTCTCAATTACTGATTATTAAGTAAAAATGCACTGACCTACGCTGGGTCGGCTTATATAGCGCGCAATGGATAAGTCTCTATATACCACCATCTCTAATAATATTACCAATGCAGCTATAGTTCGACACTCATTAACTAACGTTAGTTTTCATGTGTTGTTTTCTTTACTTGATCTGTTTTTATTGACTTCTGCGTTATCAGCAATATTCTGACCGGCGCTTTTGTCACATTCCGTGGTTAAATCTTCTTCAAACATTGTCCAAGAAAAGACCATACCAACGATGTGCATATCAAAATATGACATAATTCTACAAATTATGAATATTAATAGCAGTTGATTTTCCCGGACGTCGAGTTGGTTTTCATGTGTTTTAACTTCATAATTGTCTTCATAATTTTCTGTATGATTTTTGTTTTTCGTGTGTTTTTTACAATATCATTTTTCATTATGAGAAAAAGCCCTATGGTCTGTTTTACAAACTCAAATAGTAAGTCTAGTTTAAACTTGTTTTTGTCCGACTCTGACGAGTTGATATATTTGCCGTTGAATATGAAACCACATGATAATATTATTACTATGCTTATGGATAAACAAATATCAAATGAATATTGCGGCAATTTCTTAACGAGCATACAGTAAAATAATAAGAAAATCATGCTTATTTTATAATTATGTTTTGTTCTTATTCGCATGGAACTAATTACCGGATCCCCTTGGGAATCGCCGCACGTTTCTGCAGTTATACCATATGGTTGATAATCACATTGACTGATAACAAGCATTAACGAACCATGCAGCAACAATATCCAGCATGGCGGCCGCAATTTGCACAAAGCATAATAATATGTTACCACTTACAGCCTTATTTCTATTGTTAGTAAACATTAGTTCTGCATTTGACCCTCTGCGAACCAAAGGGAAAGTGTGGACCCATTTTGATTTCATCATCCCACTCGCCCCACGACAACGAGAATGCTACCATCAATACGCTGAGTCTGGTATGGTTTTCGCTATATCATACAAGGTAAGAAAATACATTGTAATATGTTTCAAACTAAATGCTAATGATATGTTTGTATTCTGAAACGTTTTTATTCAAAAATATGAACATCATGCTCAATACAGCCCATAAAGACACATGTCAAACCAATGGCAAACACTGTAAGTCAACATCTGTTCAATACATGTCATTTTTTTTTCTATTGTAAATATGTTTTTTAAATGCTAATAACTCACTACCTCTCTTTATACAATATAAGATGTGTATAAGAGACAGATATAGGCTTGATTGAATAAGTCTCTCCTTCTCAAACGTTGCCAGTATCTATATTATTCAAAGTAAAATTTTGTTTTCTCAAATCAACCAAAAAATTATCCCAGTAGATAAATTATCTTAATTGTCAACCAAAAATACTTTTAATAATGAATACCACTTCTTGTTAATATCCCTCATAGTGTGTGTATAACACGTTAGTCTATATTTAGACTTAATCCACAGTTAGCATAGGCTGATTTCTTTGCTCCAGGCATAGATTATAGGAACACCGAAGAGCTTTTTGAATAGAGAGATTTGACAACCACGTATGGTACTGAAAGCTAGAACAATAATCATGAAATATTAAGAACACTATGTTTATGCGTATTAAAATGATTCAATCTAAGAAACATATTCTGTACCTTATTCATAACACCATAATTTGTTGTATCGTTTGAAACGTTACAATAATGTTGCAAGGGAAGCTTATAAGGGGGTGCTTGCTTAAACAATAACACCCGCTGGAATTGTAGATTATTTTATACATGTATAATATACCCTAATAATAATCGTATCGTACCGGTACCTTAGTATTAAAAGACAATTATCATCATCATCATCATCATCATCATCATCATCATCATCATCATCATCATCATCATCATCATCATCATCAATATCATCATCATCATCATCATCAATCAATCAATTCTGTATTGATATTACTATGATGCTTACTATAATGATGGTGATTATTATTATTATTATTACTATTATTATTATTATTATTATTATTATTATTATTATTATTATTATTATTATTATTATTATCAAATTATTATTATGATGATTTATAATGATGGGGATTGTTATTATTATTATTATTATAATTATTATTATTGTTATTATTATAACCATAATGAACAGAGCACTTTTTTATGTCATCATCGTCATAGGCCTATCTATTATTTCTTTGCTTTATCCAATTTATAAATTAAATATAATGTTTTTTTAATTTAATATTTATTTCATTAATTTTAATAGGTAGTGTATGGAGAGCAGTCTGATCAAAATTTTGGATTTTCTGTTACGGATTCTACTGGTAACATTATAAATCGAAACTACCAGCAGAATGAAGACAGCGTGCAGCTCAAAGTAAAAGAATCGGGTATGAAACACATCAAACGGTTGCCCATGTGTGTGTATGTGTTTGTGTTCACAATGCATATAAAAACATGCCGTATAATTAAATGAATATAATATAGGCCTATTGTTATTAGTGGAATACAACAAAAAATATTCTTCAAGAATTAATAGACCACAACACTTTTTTTGTGGGTGAATACAATTTCCAGTATTATTAAAATCACTTTTAAATGTACCGTATTCACTTTAAAGTCCTTCTAATTATGTTTAAAATACATCATCACATCGCTCCAATTAGTTATCTCTATGATCTGGTTCAACGCCACTTACTTGTTCGCACTCTTCGTTTATCAAATCGTTTAACCTACCACCAACAAGACTCAAAACATATGGTGATAGAAGCTTTTCCACAATCCTCTCTGGAACACACTTCCATTGGAAATTCAAAACTCACCAAACATTGACTGTTTTAAGATTTAAAAGGTATTAAAGACTTACCTCTCTTTATACAATATACCTAACTTTATCTGGCACCTTTAAGCGCTTTGAGGCAATTTTTTTTTTGCATAGGCGCTTTATAAAAGTATTATTATTATTATTATTATTATTATTATTATTATTATTATTATTATTATTATTATTATTATTATTATTATTATTAAATCCCTTTCCATTTACTATGCTATTGTTGTCAGGAAGGTTTTTTTTTTTCTAATCACCTTGCTGACTCTGTAGAAGATACTACAACTTATAGACCATCAATGTCAAATTCCCTGAGACCATAGCAATCTCAAAAACAGTCATATTGCCACTCGCTCGAACTCAATACGCTCAAAGTAGTATCAGCTGCAACCTTCCCGGAACGCCATCTGGTAAGAATTTGCGAAGCTTCAGATAACAGAAATGGAACGCTCGGTGATTAATTGGTTATGTAGAAAAAATGAGAAGAATACACAAAAACCAAAAATTTTAATTATTATTATTAGTCCAAAATAAAAATTGTTGGACGTCGTCACTTCGATGACGTGAGCTTTCCCACTGTCAGTGAGTGGGCAGCCTAATTGTAGACCTAGAGTTTAAAACTTACTGTATTAATTGGCAAGTAAAATATAAACTTTTCCAGGCCCGTATATCCAGTGGGTGCAATGGGTGCGTACGCAGCCCCCTCACCCCCAATTTAATAAGGTCCACATTTTCATGACAGTCGAGAATGTTCTGAATATATAAATTTGTGATTTTCTGTGATTAAAAAAAATATTACTTTCTTTACATTTTAACCAGTAATCTATTCAGTCTGTCGTGATAGGGAAAAAACACAATTCATTCATTATATATATATATATATATATTTTTTTTTAGATTTTGGCCTGAGCACCCTGTGGATGTAATTAATCATATGAATTGATCATATACTCCAAACACGGTTTAGGAATATGAAATTATTATGAGAGTTTATATCTATACTCCAAAGCATTACATCCACTAAGCATTGGAAAGTTGGCAATCGACCAATCACAAAACAGAATTATGCATATTTAATTAATTTCCTGGTGAAAGTAAAATCACCAGTCAAGTTTGGTTTTGGTCAGAGTATAATTGTTGAAAGAATTGCATTATTCTTCTTCCTTGAAAAATAAGTTATATTATGACCAAGTTGTTATCATAGGCCTAATATGAATTTTAAACTGTAACATTATTAACTAAGACCAATCAACACATAACATAATTATGTGCATATCAAAAATTATAATGTTTAAACTTTCTTCGTCGGTGCGTGCATAAAACGCAATGGCTTGGAATTTGGATGTAGCATGAAAACAATCAAAACTCTCTGTACTATATTATTATGCTAAACATTTACAGAGTGAAAATCCTTATGTTTTGGTCGTATTAGAATGTAATATTAGTCTATTCAACAAACAGAACACATAGGCATACATATCAAAGTTATTAGGTTAAAATTCTCACGTCGTTGCATGCATAAACCGTAATTTCCTAAAATTCGGATATCTGAGATTAACAGTCAATCAAAATGCTCTGTAGGCCTACTATCTATGCTAATTTAACGCGAGAACTCCCTTATGATTTAAGGAAATATAAATGTAACTATAATAATTATTTATTGACTTTATACAGACACAATTTACATCAGCGGCACTCATCAAGAGGTGCGTCAATCATAACAAATAACTTAAATGAAAACAACTTATAACTAGAAAAATACATTAAAAAGCACATTAAGTCTGTTTGAATATGCATATAAAAATACTAAAAATACATACACACAAATACAAATATATACATATACACATATGTATATTGAGCTACATGACAAAGTTCAGAAGTTTAGAGGTTTAAAAGCTAAAAGAGGACTTCCTTATGCTGTGAATACGAAGCTGTCATCACCTAGCTTCCTCCTCCTCATCCTCCTTTCCTTATCATCATCATCATCATCATCATCTTCTTTTTTTTTCTTGATCTTCTTCTTCTTCTTCTTCTTCTCTTCTTCATAATTATTAATTGTCTATAATGAAAACAAACTATGAATTTAAAGTGTATTTAATAATATACATTTCAAAGCATCTAGAAAGCAAAACTTTTCGAAGAAGGAGCCGGAGACCCCTCCCCCCTCCACCCTACATCTAAAATTGTCTTCCAGCGACGGAAAAAGCTAGCTCTCTTCTTTTGCGTAATCAAAGATTACGCACGACCATCTTCATAAAATTCCACCTCCCCTACCACACCTAGATAACCCCATGTTCCGCGCGCACACACACACACCCACACACACAGTCAGTAGAACATTTCAGATGGCTCTCCCTGGTTTTACCATACGTATTGTAACAAATAACTATTTTGTCTATCCCGTCTTTTCCTACTCCCATGCGTGCTCATCACTCTAGTTCCGTTGCCTCTGAATCTCGCTTTAACTGGCCTTAAGAACCTCTTGTGAATCGGGTTTCCAATGCAAATTCCCGCCCTCTTCTGTACTTAAAGGCAGTCGTAGTAACCGGATTACAGAGTTTAGTTTATAGGCAACCGTAACAGTAGTAACCAGATTACATCGACAAACTATTTCAATCCTTTGCCTTAGTGTCGACTGCGTCACAATGGTCTAGTAGACACAAATGTAATAATGACGTTCGGTAATTGGAATTTCGCCAGTAATTGTTACTGACAGAATGGTACCGTGTGACACGGAGCCCAGAGCATCCTTTAATGTTTCAAAAACTAAATCAAAAACTAAATCAACACATTTATAAAGTGCCAGAATTGTATCATTACAAGATAGATTTTAAACACTGACTATAGACAATCATTGATGTATTGATCAATAAATAAATAAATCAATCAATCAATCAAATAATAAATCAACAAATCAATCAATTATTTAAAAAACCAAGCAACTCAACCAACCAACCAACCAACTAACCAAAAATAAAATTTGTATGTCTAATGGAACTTCTACATAGCCGAAATGGCACTGTCGGAGTATAAATGTGAATGTAATATTCTTTTATAGGTTACTCCATTTACTTTTAATTTTGTAAAATGTAGGGCACCTTCCTGATTTAAAAAAATGTATTCAACATCCAGATAAAAGCAATTAAAGAGAAAACATACAAACAAAGATGTAAATTACTTGAGGATTGCCACTATCAAGGGGCTTTCCTGTACTAAACATTTTTACAACACACATAAAAACAAATATAAATAATTCTAACAGATTAGGCCTACCAATAAAATATTGCAATTAAAATATAATGCAATTTAAAACAATTTACAGTGAACAAAGTCTATGCCTATGTCAAGGTATTTCATAATTGACAATAAGGCATGATTAACAGTAAGATGTTTATCCCACTGTTGTAAAATAATGGAATCTTGTGGACCCCCACATTTTTCGCGGAGCAAATGCGGACCCTTTTGACCTGGCGGACCCCACTTATTTTTCGCGGACCAAAGCTTGGGAACCACTGATAAAGTATATAATAAATTGCTTGCCAATCGATCGGATTCGATTTTCCAACCTGAGCCACAGCTTCTTAGGGGCCAATAATGACAGCAAAAGATGGGTTCGAATCTCATCATTGAGGCGTTTCCACAGCCTTGATGTTCACATCCAAGTTTAATGGCATAATATTAATGACATGGGACAGGAAGTGGTCTTTGTGGCAAAAGGTTTGGGAACACAATTGATTGGTGGTTCCTAAAATGACGTACTATGAACACCGAACAAAATGTTATAAATATCAATTTATTCCATTATTCAGAAATCACTCAAATACTGACTTTAAAACGTTATTTGATATGTTATAATAAAATGGCTTTAGGCTTAATTATATATTTTTTTCTTGGTCTTGGTTACAAAGGTGTTTATACAATATGCATGGGAAATGAAGCGACCAGGTTTTACTCAAAAAAAGTACACATATACATTGACCTGTTTGACAAACAACGATTTGAAAGCGTCATCGAAGAGGAGAACAAATTTGACAATAGTCTCGGAAACATTACGGTAATAATGTTATATTGCAGATATTTTAGTGGTATATCCCTACACGTACAGTGCTAACAACGCCCTCTCTTGACTTACTGATTTATTGATTCATTTACTGATAATTATTAAATAATGAATTGGTTGACTGATTGATTAATCGATTGATTGATTTTATATTGATTGATTGGTTGATTGATTGAGTGACCAACTGATTGATTGGAGGTTGGTTGATTATTGATTGATTGATCAATCGATTGATTAATTGATTGACTGACAGATTGGCTGATTGATTGATTGAATGAATTAAAGACTGATTTATTGATTTGGGGATCGATTAATTGATCGATTAATTCAATAGTTTAGTTATTTAAAGCCAGGCTCCGGAGGGACTAATTTTTAAAAGACACATAAAGCATATTTGACGGAAAACTCGGAAACCTTTAATGAGATAGAGATTTTCGTTTGTTTTTTTAACTGGGTAAAAGTTGGAAAAAAGAATGGTTTATGCCCTTTTTCCCACCCAGTTTTCAAACATTAAAAAATCTCATTATCTGTTCCCGATTGTTTCGTCTTTTTATGTCTTCAGTTTTACAACATATCAAAATGTTGTTTTCCTCCGGAGCCTGGCTTTAATTATTTAGTAGTTCATATTCAATCATTGTTTCTTTCATTTAATTATTTATTCATTCATTCATGTTTCCTTTAATTTCGTTCATTCAACCTTCCATGAATTCATTTATTCATTCATTGAGTTATTGCGTATATAGACGTATGATAGTGTTGTTATATCTATATATTTATAGAAAACTATCAGAATTTTGAATGAGGGAATTCGAGAGATGAGGATGTACCAGATGAAAACAAGGCAGCATGTAACAAACGATTGGTATATTCTGTCAGCGAATCTAGCCTACGTCAACAGATGGTCGTTAGTGCAGTGTGTCGTCATCATTGGCTGTGGAATACTACAAGTGTATGTCCTAAGAACATTTTTTAATGTACCAACAAATACTCGAAAACCAAGGTGTTAACAGTGGCGTATAGGAGTCTTGGCATAGTTGTCATGGGGTGTAAGGCTAAGTGTGGGGGAGGGGCTCGATAATTAAGGAGATGGCGTTAGCTGACATCATTAGGTATTTTTTCTTGGTCAGCAAATTTACAGTGGAGGGCGGTATGGGGTGCAAGCTCCTTTGGGACATGCACCCCTAAGCTCACACCGCTTAAATACGCCACTGGGTCTTGACGCGCAAATATAGATTTGCAACTGGTCAACAGCATAGGCGTAGATCCCGGGGGGATGGGGGATATAACCCCCCAATATTTGACAAGGGGGGATGGTGCATTGTATCATCCCTCCCCCAATATTTTGACTATGTATGGGATAAAATGGAGCTTTACACACTTCAAAAGACTGTCACAGAAATAATTTGCAATGTCTTATGCGCTTACAAAGATGAAAATTAGCATAATGTATTAATGTTGATAACAAAATTATTTTATCTGGTACCAATCTAAGCTCTACTTTCCTTAGATGTTAGATGTGCGTGCAAAGAGAGCCACATTTCACACTGAAGGGTGTGTACGACATCAGTAATGTTA